CATAATACAGCCGAAGTAGAGTACGCAAGAGCCTCTGGTGGAGATAGAACTCCGTGACTGCCACAGACGGCAAGTTCCCTTAACAGCTGGAACAGGGTTTAGGGTTTTCCCTCCCACTTTGCAAGGACTTATATAGGGGTTTGAGGTTCAGGGTTTACGGTTTATAGGGTTTGCAACATCCTATATCAACCCGTGAAGTTGAAACTTTTGGCGCAACCCGATCAACTCCTCTCAGAAACCTCCTAGAGAAGCCTTGTAGCACCCATATTCTTCTATAAGTTCAACCGAACCCCTGGCCCCGAAATCTGAAATCCTAAACCCGGAAGCCCTGGTGAACCTCCTACGAGACACCCTGAACCCTTTTGCCTTAAACCCTAAACCCTGAACCCTAAACCAACCCTAAACTCTAAACCCTGAACCCCAAACCATGAGAGCACCCTGAGGTCGTCTCCAGGCCTGATCGTAGAAAGCGAAACGCTTCTGAGCCGGTACCTCGGCTAACTCGCGACGGCTTAGGGTTCTGTAAGGTTCCAGCGGAGATTTATGAGGGTGTTACGAAGGTTCTGCGACTCCAAGAGCTTCATAAGGGCTCATTCGGGCTGGGGCTTAGGGACTTATATATGGCAAGGTAACACAACGAGCGTGGTAAGTAAGTAATCTGCACCTTTCGCAGAAGGTGCGCGAAACTCTCTCTCTCTCTCTCTCTCTCTGTCGTTGGAGAACCAAGTCCGACCGCTCCCACATACGGGCAGGAAGTTTGTCCTGCTTGGGCCAGTCCTTCCGGTCGATGCTGAAGAATGCAGTCACTACGGTGTTGGCCGCCACAACTTTGAGTGCCGGTGGCTTTGGCCCATGTGAGGGTGAATGCGATGGATAGGGCGTGGGGGACGAGTGATTCGGTCTGCCAGGTGGTGTTCCTGTGTATGATCGGGCTGGTGCACCTTACGAAGAACGGCGACTGTCTTCATGAACATTCTCCTACCCTGAGCGGAGGGGAGGCAGGTCGTGTTGAGGACAGGATGCGCTTGGACGGTCTTGCTGGATGCTTGTTTTGTCTGGGGCGGCAGGAGCCGGACTTCATCTGTGGAGGCCGGAGGCACCACGCCCGACCCAAGGCTGTTCCACCCCAGCCACATCGATCCATCACTTTCAAAAAGTTGCTGAAATCCAGAATATCTGGCTCCCCAGGTGCTGTCGGATTTGACAGGGGGAAAAATGCGCTGGGTCAGCTGTTCTAGTGTACCGAAACTGGACCTAAAACTATAGTACCATCAAGGAACAACATTTCCAGTGTCCAAAAACATTCCGAGTCAATTTTGCCAGCCCTCCTGTCTGATAAAGTACAGCCAAGTGACCCTTATCCCACAACGATGCAGGGGTCCATGCACAAACAAGAGATCAACAACGAATAGACAATGATAGTCATGCTCCCGTGTTGTGAGTTCGTGCTTTGTTTTCTCGTCTTATGGATGGTGCTCAGATTGGGTCTCTGGGTAGTTAAATGGGGACCAGGGCGCGTAAAATGGAACCTTAAGGCTTTCAAGCTCTCAGCCGCCAGACACACTAACTAAAGCCCAAAACGCCCCAAGACTCTTTGTGTAACTTGCTTGGGGTCCTTCAATAAGGACCCATTGATCACAAAACGGATGCAGGAAACACCTTAATCGCTTCTGCCAGCAAGTGGCGCCACTGTCGGCCAACTTCGTCACCTCGCGCGTGTGGCGGAGCCTTCGCGACAGTCACGTCCAAGAAGGTCTCATGGGAGGGGTGGGAAGAGATTTCGCGACTTTAGGCATCGCTTCACTCACTTGGGCATATGTAGACTTAGAGGGCGACCCTCAACAGTCAGCCTTTAAGCAATAAGTATAAGCCTCTAGCGTTAAGGGTCCACATCTACTTAGAAGCAAGCTGTGATGAATGAGATTCGATGGCTTGGATAATTCGCCGCTCTCACATCATACCAGGCACGGATGTATCTTTAGTTTCGAGGGCCATGCCCAAAAGCCTAGAAGTTTAGGACAAGTTAGGGATTACGGTTGGGGGACTAACCAAACAACAAAAAACCCTGAACATTAGACGACCTTACTCACGAGGCGATCTGGTTTTTGGGTGCAGCAAGTGGGCTTAGGGATTTTGGGGTTTTAGGTTCAGAGCTTTTCCAACATTTTCCCCCCTCCTACTTCGCAAGGACGAGCCCGCCATTGTTTAGGCACTATAGAGTTCAGGCATGTTGACAGTGCTTCGATGACACACTCACTGCCTTGCTGACATCGCGGGGTGCAGTGTGCGTCTTTTTGTGCGGATCTCCAGTTCTTGTGAAGAATCTTGAGAAAGTCTGCTAGGGACTTAAGCTTTTGCACGCTCAGCGTATGGGTAGCGGCATTAAGAAGCAGAAGAGGTCTTGGTGTTGCTGATAAGTATGCTGATAAGGATCCCGACCTCTACATTATGAACACAACGAAGACCTAGACGCTGAAGCCTGAAGGTCTCATATTTTCAGAATCGGGGGTGCAAGTCCCGCCGAGCCGCAAGATCTTCTTTCCACCATCATCGTCCAAGAAAACGACCTGGATTGCTCAGTATAATCATAGAAAAACACTTGAACCCTAAGCCCTAAACAAACTTCTTTGCTAAGCCTTAAAATTTGAACCCCGATGCCCCAAAACTTCGAGCGCTACTTGCAGGAACAGGGACTTAGCAAGTAGAGCTACAGTCAAGTAACCCAGCTTTATCAGTGTATCTACCTCGCAGTAAAACCCTACGTGCCGAGCCCCCTGCTCACTTGATCTGTTAAGTAACCCCCGAAAGCAAACAAGGCCAAGACCAAAAATGTCCTAAGCCCCACATCTCCCCGAAGTAAGCGAAACTAGGCACCTGTTTCTACTGTAATAAACATGAACATGAATGGCTGAGGGCGTGGTTTAGGATTTGCAAGCGGCTTACAAGGACGGTTGAGAGCGGAGTTCTGGGCTTAGACCACAGGGCTGGGCCCCGGATATGGGCTCGGGTCTGTCAATGTCGGCCCAGGCACACCGTCGATGGAGTCGGGGAGCACAGGCCCTCCTCCAGACCTGCAGACCGGAATGTAATATAGGGGCTTTAGCGATTAGAAATTAGAATAAGGTTTTGGGTATATCGATGATACCAAAGAAGGGGCTTTAACAATCAGAACAAGGTTGTGGGTATATCTATGATACAATCCGAAGAGAAAGGAAACTCGCCTCATGAACCTCGTATCTCGAACCAACGATTTTGGTACTATTCAGGCTTCCATGGTATTTAATGACTGTAAATGTAATCTGAACGGGTGTAAAGTTCAATTCCACATCGGATTCACGGTCTACGGTTGCGGGGCCCTGCGGGGCAGTGAAGTTATTAAGCGCTGTACTAGGAAAGTTCCCATCGTGGTGATGGATGTGTGTGCGTGCAACTTAGCTAACCATAGAAAAATCCTAGACCCTGAAGAAATGACCTATGCCGAAGCCGACCAAGATGCCTGCCAGTGGGGCTGGCTGTTGGACTGCCTTCGCGGCAGAAGCTGGGTGAAGTTTGGGGGAACAAATACCACGTGCTCAGGTACGTGGGTTGCAAATAGTTTGGCTGAAGAGCAGATCAAAGTAAACTGGTCTGTGAGATCGACTGTCCGGTTTCGCTCGTGCCCTTCGGGATTACGGTCCCACTTAAGATGAAGCGATCGGGTCTTGAGTTTTTCGGATGGATCTCGAGGGGGCGGGGGTTCAAAACCCATGGTGCAGATAATCATAAACCGATCCCGATTGCGATTGTACATACGGTGCAACCTGTATCGAACATCGCTTATCAAAGTGACTGAACTTGCTTCGCTAGCTATTCTAGATTATATAAATAAATAAATAAATAATTAAATAAATATATGTATATATATATATATGGATTCTAGGTACCTCTTTGAACTACACCTTCGACAGGGCGGAAAAAAAGGGACGTGAGAGACCAACGGTGATTTGCGAGCACTGGCAACCCGTAAAAACTGGCGCTGCTTTCGGCTAGTGTCCTTGATGAACCTTGGGTTTCGGATGTCAAACGACGGACCTAGATCTAGGTGAAGAACAGACGGTGCTACAAATGGGACCTGAGAAACCCTGCTTACATCTTCAACGACCCGAAAAACCCTAAACCCTCAAATGCTAGACCCTAAACCGTAAACCCTAAACCCCTTTTTACACCTGGACTACCCTAAACCCTTAAACCCTAAACCCTCAAATGCTAGACCCTATACCCTCAATCTGCCTTCTGGTGCAGCTTGTCGTGCTCTGCCGAAGCCCAGAAGATATTCGGCCACCTGCTAGGACCCTGGGTGCTCATGGTTCGGGTCTGACGGACCTTGGGATTCGGGGTTTCGGCGTTTGCAATCGGACACCTCAGGAGGCATGTTTATTTTGACGGATTTGAAATGGTGAAAGCGCGAGCTGTTATTTCAAACGTAAGTAGGGTTATGATTTGATGTAACTTCATTGGGGTTAAACCCAGATCCAGCTGAACTTCACCTACTGCTAACCCTGCTTACCCAGCTTGCCTGATCCTTCAAGCAGCAGTACCACAGGCGAGTTGTGTGTAACTAGGGAACCAGAACTTCTCTATGTTAAAGGAAACTACAGGTGGAGAGTTTGGGGTATATAGAGCTTCTATAAGATTTCTATACTATAGGTATATAGACCTTCTATCAGGCTCCTATAGCGGTAACTACCCACCTGAAAATGTCCTAGACTATCACATGAAAGGGAAATGGCTGCAGACTAAAACTCATCGAATGTCTTAGCTTGACGTCGCGCGATTGCAAAATCCAGAAAATCTTCAACAAAAAGGTAAACCCTGTAATCCTTAAACCCTATTATAAGCCCATGAATCCTAGGCTCCTAAACTCCTAGCCTCTAAACACCAAACTCTCAAGCCCAAGCCGGAGACACAGTCCCCGGTGTGTACATTGTACATAAGTAAGCACACGGAGGCTTTTGTTACATTCAGGGCTTGAGCGCAACATCATTGATGAAGAAGCAATAGCTGTCGGCGTTCTTCACGGCTTCCTCCGGATACTCCCTCGCCAGCTTTTCGCAGGTCCAGCGTCCATATGCCACCTTGCCATCTTTGCAACTGCCATCCTCTTCTTTGCCCTTTGCACAAACATCATCGGTATACCTGGGCTCGGGTTTAGGGCTTAGGGTTTAGAGTTTAGGATTTAGGATTGGCAAACCACATCAAAACGTCAGTTAATTGGTTGTTCAGCTAGCTTCTTTACTCGTCAGCCGTTAAACTAGTTACTAGTTTAACTATCCGATTACTCCATCGAATAACTAATTAACTAGTTCAGTGTTCATGTATCATGTGTTTGCTACTTGCTCGGTTGTTCAGAATTATCGCTTCCATGCCGGGCTTGACACATGTTGCAAGAATAAACTACCTATAGTCTCCATTGTAGTTCCTTTTTGGGGATTCCTTTTAGGATCCCTAAAATAGAATTGGTTAAACCAAAAAAAGGAACTACAATGGAGACTAAAGGTAGGTCTGGGCACATGGTTTCGTGGTGCGAGGCCTCGTGCGTGAGAGTCTCGATCTTGTCACCCTCGATGGTGTTCATGTAGAGGTCACACAAGTGGAAGACATAGCGACCACGCATGTTTTTGTTCCACGGCGGAGATGGATAAACATACGCGTAGGTACTGGGAGTGCAATCCTCCCCAGGGAAAACGTAGTCCACATTGCTCAGCAGGCGGTGGACGCCATTCCTGAACTTTGAGATAGCCAGGGAGAAAAAGTATCGACTTTGATTTCATTGTAGTTCCTTGAAGGAACAAGTCTAAAAAAAGTATTCAAAAATGTTACTCCAGAAGACCCAGATTCAAAATACCCAAGACTTCGGAGCGAGTGAAATCGTCATTTGCCCCAAACCTCAGATGCTTCGGCCCGTTGTCGGTTTGACGTTTCGGGGTTTGGGGTTAAGCCTAAGCCCTGAAACCCTGACCAACATCTCTGTAAAACCCTAAAACCTTGACCCCAGAATCTAAACATATCTAAACCCTAAAACCTCAACCATAAGCCCTAAACTGTAGCCTGTAAAACCCCTTGAAGACCCATGGCCATAAACCCTAAACCCTAACCCCTAAACCCTAACCCCTAAACCCTAAACCCATGGCCAAGACACCATTTCGTCACCAAGTGCGGGACTTGGCGAGAGCCCATGGCTCGAAGAGCCTGGAACAGGTTTACAGGGCTTACGGGCTTTTTAGGGGTTCCTTTTTGGGTTTCTTAAAGGGTTCCTTAAAGGGTTCCTTAAAAGGATCCAAGGTTGCAGACAGGTACGGTTCAGAACATCGATCCCCGTGCAGCACGTCCATGGATTCAAGGAGCTCGGCGTTTGTAGAATTCGGCTTCTCTCTCACTCTCTGCCGTTGATTCTAGAGGAATTCGGCTTGTGCTTGACGATCTATACCAGAGCCCTGCTATTACGAATCCCGAAACTACTGAACTAGTACCCTAAGTACCCCAAAACTTGTAAACCTAAAACCCTGAAGCTGCAACGCTGAAATCTAAACCCAAGTCTTGCCTGAAACAGCAAAAAAAGTGTCGAAGGACCACGTTAAACCCTAAAAAGTGTGAGCGCACCTTCGCTGTGTAGGCCTGGGCTTTCACCGCGATTCGTACCGCTTCATCCTCCCATGCCTTCTTCTTCCCACCTTGAGGTTTAGGGCTTAGGGGTTTAGGGGTTTAGGGTTTAGGGTTTAGGGCAAGCTAGATGTCCCTTTCAAGATCAATTTTTTGGAATCTAAACCACCGAGGCTGCCTTATATAGTGTGTCTTTGGGCCCAACCAGCGTTAAAATAAGAGTCCTTCGAGCCTTAAGGCAGAGATGACCCCAATTTTTCCAAACTGCGCTTCAATCGAGGTATCTCTGTAACGATAACCCTAAACCCTAAGCCCTGGGCCCTAAACCCTAAATCTTTGGAGACTCTTGGAAGGGTCGAGAAGAATAATCACCAGTTGGATTATAATAAACCCTATATGGACCCTACCCCCGGGCCTTTGCCGGACTTCCTGCCCCTTCTCTCATGCCTCAGGGAGACAGGGGGTCGTCGATTCCGGGGGCTGGGGGCCGGTTTAGGGTCTCGGGTTACATGTATGATGCAACCCTAGACTCTGTCGAACCTTACATAGAAGCCCTACATCCCCTTATAAATCCTAAAGGGCTAAACTTCAACACTCTGACCTCACAGCCACAACCCCTAAACCCTTACAGCACCCGGAAAGGAAGCTTGCAAATCATCCTGCTCCCTAACCCTAAGCCCTAAGCCCTAAACCCAAGAACAGCCCTTGGCTTACTTCCCCAATAAGCCAGGTAAAATAAAAGGTTAAACTTTCGAGTACTAAACTACAAGAGCCCAAAAAGTTTAAAGGTTGGGTATTGGGGAACTACGGTTGATGATATATCCTGCATTACCCATAACAAGGAATAGACCATAATTCCCATAGTTTAGGGTCCTTAGGGTAATGCAGGATTTATATCATCAACGGTAAGTTGGCGCCTCGGTGGATCCAAGGCTGGAGGAGGCAAGGGATGCTCAAAGGTCCTCGGACGGAGGGTCTCGGCTTCGGGCCGAACCACTCGAAGCTCAGTAGACCCTAAACCCCAAACCCAAAACGCAAAACCCCAAACCCTAAACCCCTATAGACTCCAAACACTAAGCCCCAAAAACTGAGTGTGAAGGGAGGGTGGTTCAATTGGGGGTGAGGGGGGCGGGGAGGGGAGGGTACTGGAGATCCTTGAAAGAATCGGGACGACTGACCCTAAACCCTAAACCCCTAAACCCTTGGGGAGAAAGGCCCCGCTTGGACACCCCTCCTCTAAGGATCCCTGTTGGGAACACATTTTAAAAATGATCATTGTTAATCCTTATTGGGCTGGGTTTAGGGTTTAGGGTTTAGGGTTTAGATTGGGCTTTACCCATAGGCTCCAAAGTAGTTCGTTTTTGTGGTTCATATTTAGAATCCTATAAAGTAACCCCCAAAAGGAACTACTTTGGAGCCTATGGGTACATATGATAGCAAAAATGCAAAATTGCATCCAACAAGGACCCAGACTCCACGGATCCCCTAGTAGCAAGCAGAGTTCCTGTTCAAGAGATCACCCGAAAACGCTCCCTTTGCAGCTGTAGGGTCTTTATGTTTGGGGCTTTGCAAGGGTGCTTAAAGGATCAGGGCGCATAGTAAGCGAGATTCTAAGCACTGCAATCGGGGAGGTGGGGGGGGGGGGGGGGG